AACAGCAACCAACGTGTGCACGGGAAGAGAGCAGAGAGAGGAGTCCCGGAACTTAGCACGGCAAATAGCCATTTCTAATGACTATGAAACCGTAGCTCAGGATAGGTGTAGGAGAAATCCTAGGCCTCCAAGCAACATCTCTAGCGATAGAAGGGTCCCGTTTATCCTACCCTTCATCTCAAATGATGTAAGAGATCGGGTACTGCATGAGATCGGGTACAGTCTATCTGATCCCTTGTAAAGCATGCGGGGACGAATACATTGGCGAAACGGGTAGACCACTCTGCCCACGTATAAAAGAACACCTAGTCGGCAAACGTAAGCCAAATACTCCACTAGGCACGCATAGGACGCAGAGGCATAACGGGGAAGATTTTGAAGTAAGGGTTACGATCCTCGCGCAAGAATCGAGAACACAAGCGCGCAGAACTCTAAAGGCGGTCTGGATTAATTCCAAGAATCCGAAAATGAACAGCAGAGAGGAGTACCTCATTATCACGCTTGATATTGGACAATATATAAACGTTATTCTGTTGGGAGTGGCACATTACGCTTCCATGTGAATTCTGTGAGGTTGGTTTTCACGCGACATAATCAGTGGAAAACTCATAGAAAGCGGTGAGTGTGGAGAGCTATACTAAATATGATTGAAATCTTGGTTTAGCGTTTTCTCTGTTTGGCCGAGTGGATTGCTGTCAACTTGACCATTCCAGGCTCTGAGGAATGCGAAATCCGCCGAAACGTCAGCTTGTGCGTAAATAAAGAAATAAAATAGCACCTCATGTTTGCTGAGCAGAAGTAGAAAGAATTATTGAACGATTTTATTTGAAGAAAAAAAAAGTCATTTTTAAAGGCTCGTATCTTTATGGAGCGCCTTTTGAACGAGAAACGTGTGAAGAAACTTAGAGAACAAGAGGAGGCACGGATCAGGGAGCTTGAAGCGCAAAAAGCAGAGATTGAAAGGGTGTGTCGGTTAATTTGACCTATGTCCTATTTTCTGTTGATTAATTGTTATCGTTGTCGTTGTTAAAAGTATTTGCTAATGATTGTTGCTAACATCATTCACTGCCATTTTTTCAACCTATTAAGAGTTAGTTACTGGCGATTACTTATTATCGTTGCTTACTTGGATAATTGGATGGTGTGCCCTCACTGGTTCTGTGGTTCCCAGCATAATCTCCATTTTTTCGGAGTTTTGTTGGTTTAGCTATTGTGTTTCTGTGGAATCCCGAGGTCAGCCTGGTCAAAGTCTGCCTCAGGTGGTCACCACATGTAGTCGCCGCCTTTGTGGATCCAAGGGAAATTCGCCACCATGCAACTAGTTTGGTACCAGGATGGTGACAGGTCTTGGTATTGGTTTACCCTTAGCTGAGTTTTCTGAAGGAAACGGCGGACTTCTTTTCAGCTTGGGAGAAGCTGCCAGAAGGATGAATCTCCCCGCTGTACATCGCAGCCCGACATCCACGAACACCTCCCAGCCATAATGAGGCGGGAGACCGTTGGGACGGCTTTTCATCGTTATTATCACTTATTGTTACTGTTGGTAGCAAGTTATTGTTTAGGTCTTGTTGTAATGGTGTTGGTTACTTTTTTACCGCTATTATTGTATCAGTGATTATTGTGGTTATTAAAATATTATCACACTTAAATTTTCAGCAACTTGCTGAAGAAGATGCCAAGAGAAAGAAGACATCTTTGGCAATGGTAGACAAACTGATTAACAGGTGAGTAGCGGAAGTGGGTAGAGTACTTTCTGTATGACTGAAAACGCCCTACTAGTACAAACATACGTTTGCAGTCGAATTGGCGCTCTCTTGGGTCAGGTGAATACTGAGACTTCTGAAGTGAAATCAAAACTACCTGCCCGGTTAAGCGATGATGAGGCGGATAAGGATCGTGATGAGATGCGCAGAAAACGTAAGAAGGAAAGGTCAAAGAAGCACAAACATAGAAAATCGCGCAGGTATGTGGAATCCTCGAAAGATTGCTTCATCGTTCTCCATTCATTTATGCTCTCTTTAAGTCGGTCACGGAGTAGAGACAGAGATCGACGGAGGCGACGGCGGTCCAGCGACTCGCGTAGTAGCGACAGGTTAGTCTCCTTGACCATGCTTCAATTCGTACTGCACAGTGTTTTTTATAGGGACTCACGAAAACGTAAGAAAGAACGGAGGTGACGAATAGTTTGCCGTTTATTGTTACGCTTTTTCTGGTTGATCAAGTTTGTATGTAATTATGGTTGGAATTATTGTTGATGTGAAATTAGGTGAGCATAAACATTATAACATGGTCTTTCGCGAAATCAAAATGAAGACGTCGTCGTGGGCTATGAATTTAAATCCGTCGTCGGATTTGGTGGTCATTCCGTTGGCCTAAAAATTTTGCTTAGTATTAGACAGAAATATTTCGGTAGTCATAAAACCTGTAAGAGAGTGGTACAGAAAGCAGAGTTGTTTCACCTTCAGTGCCTCCTCTATATGGCTTCTATTTAAACGATGACATTTGAAGGTCTTGCCACCAAAACTATAGGATGTGGCATCCAACACACCGCCTTGGATCTGAAGAGAATATTTTGCCTAGCAATAGTTTCTCTCGGCTCATATATGACTGGGAATATATTTCGCTTCAAATCAATAGCATCTCCATTGGGACGTTGTTCGATAGAAGCTATTTCCTATCCGTAACAATACAGAAATATGCTTGGATCAATTCACTCGTCTGTCTTATGGCGACTACTCTCCTTGCCGCAAAGACTGTTGGACTATTGCTGGTGAGGACGATACTGAAGTGCTTATAGTATAATGAACCTTTCGAACACTGGCCTCTTGCACTATGCAGGTTACTTCCTCGCAGCAGTAGAAACGTGTATAAACGAGTTGTACTTACCAAGTATCCGCCATCTTCGATGAGGCTGCAAGCACCGCGCACGGCCCTGTTGTATTCATCAGTCGTCTCGCATGAATATTCCAGACAAAACACCGTGGATACCAGCTAAAATTATATCAGAGCTGAGTGTATTCAAACGTTTTCGACCTTATATGATGCTGTTAAATAAGGCTGGTGTTTCTATTGAAAAGGTTATAAACGCCTTTAAACTGGGACTTTTGCGTTTGCATTTAGTCAGGCCTGAAGTAGCCTTGACGATTCGTGGGGCGGTTTTCGATGTGAACCTGGAGATTAATTGAAAACAAAATATGACAATTCATAAAACGCCTGCTTCCCAAAAGCAGCAGGTATGGGTCAGATGACTTTCCACAGTAGCATTTAAGAGCAAGAACCTCGAATTTATTCGGTATTTCACTGCTCTTTCGTTGCCAATGTACGCTGCGAACAACCGGCATCTCATGGACGTTCACCTGAAATCAATTACATTTCTCAACAAATCATCGATATTTGGGTATTTGAATATCGGTCACTGCGCTACATTTTGTTCATTTGTGGACGATAGTTCAGTTTACACTTCTTAGTGAGCTTTGCTGGACCTCTAGAACTGCCATCACTTTGTTCCTGGCTTTTTCTTGCATCGCAGCTGGTGGCTCGTCCAAGGATTCAATACTTGATATTAAACCGCACACGTCTGACCAATCAAATGTGGACCTGGAAGGCAACTCATTGTAACGTTGTAACCAAACTTTTTGGCCAACAAACGTTAGCTTGATACCGTATCTCACTGCTTTAACAGAACAGCGGTGTTCGCCCTAACAAGCTGCAGTATAGATAACAGTAATAGAGAATAGAGATAAAACTGACTTTGGATACTATCAAGAACGATTTTGTAAAAGTAAAAAGGCGCTTTTAAGGTTAATCAAATTGCTACCTTTCTTTGCTTAGAAAGGATAAAGCTGTAGGCGTTGATCAATCCCTGAGGGATGTGCTATGAATTCGATTTCATTAAGCATCATTTGGAGATGATTGAATGTATGTCTGGCCTTTACAATGACCTGCGGTGGCCTACCGATGTATCGAACCAATGCTACTATCCTCCCAGAGAAATCTGGTACCAATTTGCCGACCCTGGAGAGAGATGGAAGGCTTGGTGGGCCATGGGCGTGGTGATCGATTCCACGTGTGTGTTGCGGGGCGCCTCCGACCACCTCCTTTTCTTTATCTTTTACATTGCTTAAACTAAGAAAAAAGACTTGAATACCTGTCCTCTACCCAACTCTGCAAAACGTCTCTGTTAACTTGAGCGTAGTCAGATGTGAATATCTGGAGCGCTTTGTTTCGAAGTGCAACCGGAACATAGATAGTAGGTCCTGAAAATAATACAGCGAGAGTTTGAAGTTGCCCAATCACTGCAATTTCTTCATGATTTTTGAAAACTGTTACAATTGTGCAAACAGTGGGATCATAAAAGATACATATGAAGGGTAGACAACGTTTGAATACTGGATGAAGCGCTCACAAGATGCGCTCAGATGTTTTTTTAGCAATCATACATACCTGCACCCAGATCCAGAACTGTCTTCACTTTCGTTGGTAGTCTATAGAGAATCCCCGGTAGGAAGAACAACACTATCCGCATGGCAGTGTCTTCGGAGGCAGTTTTGTAAAAACTCTCCAGGTAGGCGAACGGGTCGAACTGAAAAATGTCCTTACACAATTCACTACGGGAAAACAACTTAGCGAGAGACTAAATGAGGAATGGTGTCATTTTTTTACCAAAATCTTGTGGGTGTTTTTCATCCATCAATATCGGCGTTGAAATCGAATCACTCGACCTACAGGACAATAAGATAGGACTTCCCGCGCTTCAGTAATTGAACGAAAGTTATTGTAACCATTTTTAGTGAAGTGGTATAGTTCTTGCTTTGATTTGAATTTACTTCATCGCTATCATCCATCTTGGAAGCGCATAGCGCAACGGTAGTGACCTCGTTCACTATACGGGCGGCACAACCACACTTTGGCGCTGGTTGGTCCTTGGGCCGGACCCCCACCAAACCTCTCATCTTTCCGGAGTTGAGGAAATTGGTACCATACTTATCGAGGGGTGGTGCGGTCCCTTGAATTCAAGCGGGAACGCCCCAGCAGGGCAACGTGAAGATTCCAGGAAGTGTCGACTCGATCACCTTTCAACGACATTTGTGACGAAAGCGAAAAAATCTTCAAGTGACAGCAGAACGCAGACGGAAAAAAAGTTCGAAAATTTTTGTCGGCGATGGATGCGAGGAATCGAACAGAATAAAAGAAACGCTGCAATTTATTCATTGTAATATATGTGATGTCAGGTCATGCAGTAATAAAGAAGTAGTTATAATAAGTTTCTCATTCACCTCTTTCGTTGATAAACTAAATATCGCTAGCTGACCATCGAAAAAACTACCGAAAAAGTGATTCTGGAACTCTAACTGTCACAGACTAACTAGAAGCTATGGTAAAAAAAATTGCTCGAGAGGAAGGCGAAGCAAGGGTCTCAGTAGTGCAATGAGTAACACGTGAAACCACGAAGAGGGCAATCCCAAGTTCGGATCTGGCATGAGGTTCTAGTTTTGCAAATATCTCAGCATCATAGTGGTTGTATTTCACATTATACCTCGCCGTGAAAGAAATAATAGACAGTAAATAAAAATTAATACGTAAATCAAAAGTTGTAAGCAAATCGTGAGGCCTATGATTGACGATTTCACAGCTTTTCTAGCAGCTATTTCGAAAACACTTTATTTCATAGAATCGTCAAGAATAATGCAAGATCAACTCGCCACAATTTCTTCAAAGAATGCAAATCTCTACCTCATTTGATCGTTCAAGTTCTCCGAGCGTTTGCTTAAGATGTGCTATCATTTGAGACTAACCTTATCGAGGTGAGCAATAGCCGCGTAGACCTCCTCCGTCTTGGTGACAGCCTCGTTGTCCTCTACGTCAATCGTCATCAAGCCTGAGCAGATGAATTCTGATTGATAGTTGTTTTTTTATGGGAAAAGCAGGTGATTTGTTGACGTGGTCCGATCGTCTGGTAGTTTTGACGTAGTTTCTAGAACATTCTTTGAGCAAAATAAAAGAGTTCAACGGGCAAAGACAGCAGCAAATTAGTTTTTCTCTTGAAGAAATACTTAGAGATACTGCTGATTACTAAGTTTAGCCGAACGTTATCATTAGGTTTTTCATGAACGACTTGAACGTCTTCTCGAAGATCGAATGAATTTTTTGGACTCGATTGGAATGTCTGTTGTAATCAGCCGCACATTTCCACTTTTCTTATGCACTTTACTACAAACAGAAAATTCGAGAGAATATACCTTTAAGAAGTAGTTAAAATGCACATTCAGTGCTGCCGTAGTCAGGCCAGTGACGCTAGATGACTCAAATACTGACTAATGAATAAGAGTTTAAAATCAGCTTATGACCACAACGAGCACCACACCCACACCCACGCAGTTCACACCTCCGACAGTTGTGTGCTTTTTCTTGCAGAATGTTAAAACAAAACGATATTTGCTCGAAGCCTACTTCTAGGGTACATCAACAACTGAAACATTTACGACTAATCGATAGCGATGAGTGGAGAAGTTCGACCAGTCGATTTGTGCGACGGCTGGCTGCTACGTTTGCATAGACCACAGTGTGCCGGCCCTCGAAGGGTTCGCTGTAACAAGCCGAGCCCGGGTGCCGACATTCCATTTATCTCAGTCACCCGTTTCCGCCTCCATCATACTGTCCTCCGTCCCTCACGTACTCCGTGAGTGCCGGCCATCACCAGAATTTCAGTACCGGTATTCGAGGAACTCGAGTGATCCTCTCGACGAATCCTACTTTCCACTGTGCGGATCCCAGTACTCCTTGCATTCGATTTGTTTCCGGCGCATCCACCGCTTACGATGGTCTTCGATCATCTTCAGCTGCTGCTTGAAGATCTCGTCCTGCTTATGAATATATCGAGTTCATTCTCCTGACAATCTTGAACATAGCCTGGCCAAGGGGTTGCCACGTGGACTGTGGGAGAGCGTTGAGCAGTGGGTCGAACTAACGCCTTCATTCCTGATTGTCAGCATCACCGACCATTGCGCTTACCTCCCACCTCTTACCATATCATCTTTTACAGACTAACAATAGCATCTGCTCTTAAAATTGACAATCGTAATATTTATATCGTTTATTTCTTAGTGAGTTAACACCAGTTCCAAAAAAGGCATTTAGAGTTGTGAACCCACCCTCTCGTTGTCATTTCTTTTTCTACCGCGATTTCAGGTTTGTTCACACTTTGAACGTTGCAATCACACACTTACTTTCTGAACTGATTTGAAATCACTTAGATATTATTTATATTACGCTACTTTCTTGTAGAACTTAATAATACCATGACATTACTGCATTATCTAATCACGAAAGTTTTTCAAGTTACGAAGCGAAGGGTTATTATTGAGGTTCTGGTAGCGCACATTGGTTGTCTAACAGTAACCGCACATGAGACATCCTTTTAACTTTATGATATTCCGTTGGGTCTGTTCGATGTATGAGGCTTTTTCGAATATTCTGTACTCTTCCGAACTTATTCATACCTACTTGGACACTTGGATGACCCGTCCTCACTGGTTGTGCGGGTTCCAGCACAATTTTCAACCCTTCGGAATTTTGCTGGTTTATCCATTGTGGTTTCCTGAAGTCTCGAGATCCGCCAGCCAAAGTCCGCCCCAGGTCGTCACTACCCCAGCCAATCGCCGTCCTCGTGGATCAAAAGAAAATTCGCCACCATGCGACTAGTTTGGTACCAGGACGGTAGTGGATCCTGGAATTGGTTTACTCTTAGCTGCGATTCCTGATGAAAACGCCGCGCTTGGCATGCTCTGCTAGGATGATGAATCCACCCGCTGTACACCGCAACCCGACACCCAGAAACAGCTCGCAGTCACGATGAGGCGGTGAACCGTTGGAAGGAATCGCTGAAGTACATACAAATAATGAGAAGATTTGATAGTAAGTTTACCGTCACTTGAAGCCGCCATGGCATTCTTTCCACTTGAAATGAACGGCAATCAGTACGGGCACTTAAAAATAAAAATCAAATGAGATGTGAAGACGTCTGGATGAGTAGCAGCTCGGCGTTCTGTGTACAGATGTGCGCCGTTTCGGTTATCGATCCGTCGTAGGTCAAACGAGAAGGCTTTCACGACTTCGAACTTGGTCTACCGGCCGGAAACCAGTGAGTCCACGAAAATGTGACGAACAGGTGGCCCTACAACGCGTTCCCTCGTGTTCGAAAAAATGTGACGAAAACGCCGTACGTCGACAAATTTCTATATTTAGTAAATCCTTTACTTACTGCTAAAAGCGTGTGTAGCACAGTGGTCGGAGGCGCCCTGCATCAGACACGTGGGATCGATCCCCGCGCCCATGACCCACCAAGCCTTTTATCCCTCCGGGGTCAGCAAATTGTTAACAGATTTGTCTGGGAAGATGCCAGCACTGGTTCGATACATCGATAGGCCACCGCGAGTCATTGTAAAGGACAGATGCGCTTTCAATCACCTCCACCGATGTCTAGTGAAGTCGAATGAAATGGAACGCCTCTCAAGGATTGATCAACGCCGAGAGCTTCATCCTTCTTATCCTTTACTTGTTCTGCAATCGATAAAATCCAGTCAATATGGTAGCCTTGAGATTTTCCACGTTAATCCATGCTGCTTCGTCGTAAATCTAATTATTATGTCCGTGATTATTTGCACCTCCTACGCTCACATAAGCCCTAAAATACATCTCAAACATGATTTTTATTTGTAATATCTCTAAAGTTTTTACAAATGCTGACTTTCTTTTAAGCTCGGGATTGATCAATAGTTCACCGTTTTCTTGGTAAGGACACACGGGGTTGTTGTTATACTATCCATTTCCAACGGATAGCGTTTCGGCTAATTTCGCCTTCTTCAGGACCCGAAAAGTCTTGACTGCAATCTGGTGCCCAGTGTGATTGAAATTTAAGTTCCGGGGTCTTTTGTCGGGGTTTTGGAAGGGTTTTGGAAAAAAAAGTGTTTGGCTGATAAGATTGCGATCGACTTGACCTTTTGAGGCTATGAGGAAAGCGGAATATCCCGAAACGTCAGTTTTTGTAAGTAAATAGATAATAAGAGCCTCATGTCTGCTCATCAGGAAGACAGTGAATTCCCGAAGTGTGTCCCATTTCTGAAGGCGCTTCCGATGCTTCATCTTCATGACATAAGTCAGTGACGTTTGGGTCCAGTCACTCTACTCGACATTTGCGACTCTTCGTTTTCATGACTCACTCTCCAGAAGTTTTCTATGCTTTTCCTTTCAGCCATGTATGGATAGCAAACACTAAGAATGTCGACTGCAGTCTTGTCATTCATTCGAGGAGTCGACTTCTCTCGAAACGATTTCTCTGTGAGTTCTTGAGTTCTTTGCTTGTTTTTGCTGCTAATTTTTCTCTTGTGTTCGAGAGAATGTTCCGTAATTTCAGTTCAAAATCCTTTAGGGTGATCGTTTTCCACACGCAGTCGAGCAAATGACACAAATGACATGGCTGAAGCTGAACAGAACCAATCTTGAGCGGGTGCGAATCTTAATGCGTTCTTTCTCATCTCTTCTGACTTATCTTTTGTTAATCGACATTCAGTTTAAGGTTGAGCAGTTAATTTTTGTTAATTCTGGACAACTTCTCAGGTGCCAGATGAGCTCTCACGGTGTGCAAATCTCGAACATCTCCAGATGTCGAGAAATTTGTTGTCCAGTGTTCACGGCGAACTGTCGGATCTTCCACGGTTGAGATCCGTCATCGTTCGACATAATCAGGTGCTAGTTTCTTCTGTTCAGGATCGATGTATTATTAGAATCTCTTAATGGTCATTGATTATCTTATGGACTCTTATTGCCGATATTTTGTATTATCTACTATTGGTTAAGGTGAAAACAGCAGGAATTCCAACTGACATCTTTCGAATGAAGGATCTTACCATCATAGATTTCTCTCATAATCAGTTGCGCGAAGTCCCACCGAATCTCGAATATGCCAAAGGCGCCATCGTTCTGAATCTGAGTCACAATAACATCGAAAACATCCCAAATCAGGTCAGCTTTCTTTGAAGTAGGGTTCCTAGCAACATGATGGGACTAATTGCAGTGATTCTTTTAAGGTGTTTTCAAATCTGATCGATTTATTGTTTCTGGATCTATCTAACAACAAGCTAGATATGCTACCACCACAAATTCGAAGGCTTACAATGGTTCAAGATCTGAAGCTCTCGAACAACCCACTGCATCATTTTCAGTTGAAACAGCTTCCAAGGTTCATTTTTCAATCTTGATGTGGGTTTGTAAACATTGTTTCTTTGAGTAGTAACCCTTCAGCATGACTGCACTACGTGTTCTGCATATGCGAAATACTAACAGAACTCTCGACAACATTCCTCCATCTCTGGACGATTTGGAGAATCTCCAGGTATCGACGTTTAGAGCTTGTGACCATAAGGGTCATAAGTGGTCCGCATGTGTTATTTTACCGATCTAAGGGGGCGATAGATGTAGTGGCTTTATTCTGTTGTTGTGGATGATCAAGCCGTTTTTTTTTTCTTTAATGAGATCTATTCTATAGAGATGTTTTTCTAAGGTGATTCCTGCTTATAGTTGGAGAATATTCTGTTTTTCTACGTAGTTGTTTCCTTTTCATGCAAGTATGTTACTGCTTTGTAAATATTCCATATTCTTCCAGGATATTGACTTTGCTGAAAATAATCTTCCAGCGATACCTGAGGCTTTGTTTAAGCTGAAGAACCTGAGAAAATTGGATATTAGCGGAAATAAGGTGAGTCAGTGGCAATGGTAACTCACATCCTCATCGGCGATGTTTTCCACTTACTAAGTAGTATTTCTAAGGAGTAAATTTATCCTTTGCTTTAAGATTGAAAAGATTTCAATCCCGGAAGGCAGTTGGGAGATGTTGGAAACGTTGAACATCAGTGAAAATGGTATGAGTGTCCTTCCTGAGGGTCTTGTACGGTTGACAAAACTCCAACGGTTATACGCAAGCGATAATCGTCTTACATTTGAAGGTTCGTTACACTGTTGTGTGTAGTTCCTTGGCTCTTGATAATAATTTTCTGTTCAGGCATTCCAAGTGGCATAGGAAAACTGGTTCAGCTACTAGTCCTTCACCTAACCAGGAACAATTTGGAATTGGTTCCAGAGGGAATCACCCGCTGTGTTAGACTTCAACGACTTCGACTTAATCATAATCGGCTCATAACATTACCAGACGGAATTCATCTTCTTCCTGATCTCAAAGAACTTGATCTCACTGAGTAGGTGTTGTATCCATCACTTTTTACTATCAGAGATCTTGATTACGCAAGCGTTGTTGATTTCTTAACTAAAGTACTCACGTACAAGAGTAATAATAGCTCTACACGTCGTTTTCCTTTTTCTGAAAATATTCGACAAGCGCTCACTTTTCATAATTGCCACAAAATGTGACTCACCAAGCATCGTTAATTTGTGGGGAGATTTAGTGCAAGAGTAAAGAGAACAAAGTCCACGGCTCAGTTTCATGTTTATAACTGCATTCGTGTCCTTTTTTCCATAAATTCTCTGGTACAATTCATGTTGACTTTACTTTCTTGGAAACTTTTCCTATGCGATTGATAACAAAGAATACTACCTGCTGAGATATCTACAAAACTCCCGACGGGAGGTATCTGCGATGGCAAATGAACGCGCTCTTACCTTTTCCGGAAGCTAACGCGTCCGTCACCACACCATGCACATCCCTCAGTTTAACTGGGTTCAAAACCGATCTGGGCTCCCTAGATCAATCCCGTTGACGAGTGATTGCTGATAGGACTGAGAGACGGTAAACTAGTTGAGAGACAGGCGAAATGAAGGAGCTGTGGTCCAGGGTTTCGCAAATATCTCTGCATCATGATGGTTGTGTTCCACATAATACCCTGCCTTGAAAAATTATAATAGACAGCAAGTAAAACGTTAACACTGTGATTCCAGCTAAGAATGCTGTTCTTCGAAGGTCACTAGCATCATTTAGGTGCCAGAAGGCATGATGAGCATAGTTGGTGGTGGTGGTGGTGGTGGTGGTGGTGGTGGTGGTGGTGGTGGTGGTGGGGGGGTGTTGTTGAAATGTATTGCATTTGCGCTCAAATGTCATCATGTTACACCGCTGCACCAGACTGAAACTGTATCCAGCTAACATCACCATCTTCATTCCTTTAGAAATATGAGGTTCTAATTTGAATCTGAAATGAGTTTTTGAGCTGAAATGAGCTGCAAGAGCGTTTTTATGGTGTAATCGTCCTATCTTATAGATACATTTTTTAGATTTCTTTTACATTACCAAAAAAAGGGCAGTGTACTAAGTGATGAATCATTGATCGACAGTTTTTATTCTATGAATCAGTCCTTTTCGTCTCCTTATCTGGTCATCTCCTCGTTAACTCGAATGTTCTTCACACAGTTTTGAAATTGCAGCAACTGCGATCTTGTCATGCCCCCCAAACCAAATGAAGCTCGTAAGAAGCTCCCATTCTACAATATTGACTTCTCCTTGGAACATCAGGTACATGGTCGGCTTCTTCTCAATGGATATTTTTTCCTTGGTTTTAAATTATTTTAGGGTTTCTTTCTACTGATTTACGTGAATTTTCATAGTCATATGTGGCCTTCGTTTTTATTCGCTTTACAGAATTGTTTTGCAGTTTCCTTTCTTCGTTTACTCCGTCTGTTGTGCTCTTATTTTCACTTATTGTAAATCTTTGAATATGATATATTTGTAGCGTACGCTTGCTGGGCAGAGTCCAAGCTCGTCTATTTCATCTTTGCAAAGCACAACGAAAGAAAAAGATCCCGTAGCTCGTCGTAAGGACTTTATAAAAAGAAGGAAGCAACAAACGGATCAGGAAGATGCTAGTAAAGTGATAAAGGTTCGTTCTTTTAAAATGATTCCTAACTTCTTTCACATCGACATATTCGTTGATAAAGGCTCAGCTGTTCTTGTGCCTGTTGTAGTGCGAATTTCAAAAGTCTAAGAAAGCTGGAATCTGGTCCTCATCATGTAGTTAAGGGTATGTCGAAAATTGCTGGCGCTAGCGCCGCTCTGAAAGAACGGGAAGAGGAAGAGCAAAAGCAGGCCGCACGCTCTGCTGTCAATTGGAAGGTGATATTTTATGTTCGATTTTTTTCTCCTCTCAACATAAAGCTGAACCGATGCTTTTTTTATAGTTTTTTTTTGATTAAGCATTCTAAAGGGTCCACGTTTTTAGGCTCACTTGGACAAACAAAGAAAGCAGCTTGATTATAGCGACATTTTCGATGATGATGTGGGCAAATATGAGGTGTGTGTTAATTGGATAGCCTTTCTAGTTTTTTTCCCTTATATACACACTTAATTTTTATTTGACATTCCGTTTTAGGGCTTATGGGTTTGGGAGATTGAAAATTTTTATCCATCCATCATTGACGGAGCGTTTCATGGCCAGTTCTACGATGCTGATGCCTACCTGGTACTCAAGACTGCAAAAGTGTGACTTTTGGTTGATTTGACGAAACGGTTTCTGTAAATTTTGAGGGCTGGTCCTTTGTTTAAGGAGCTGTCAGGAAGCCTACGGCACGAAATTTACTATTGGCTGGGTGAGAAGGCTACACTTGACAAGGGAATGTGTGCTGCAGTGCACGCAGTCGGCTTGCGTAACCACCTTAATGCCACTTGCAGGTTAGTTACTGTAGTTTCTATTCTTATTTTGATAGTGTTTACTTTAAAAATATACATTGTGCCTTCCATAAAACTTTCCATTTTCATCGTAGTCGAATTCTTTCAAAAATAATAAGCTTGGGTCTTTAAACTTCGCAGTTGCACTTTTACTTTCCAGAACTATTCGAGAAGAGATGAACGACGAGTCTGAAGACTTTCTTGATCTCTTTGGAGGTGAAGAAATCGTATACATCGAAGGGGCTCGTACTAGCACCGGATTTTTTACTGTAGAAAAACCACAGCATATCACGAGGTATGTATTCCGTGATTTTAGTGTTGTCATTATTCCAGTGACTATTTTACCTACTCGCTGACTTATTTGAGTTAGCTGTTCGAAATTTTAGTTGTAATCTGTGTAAACGAATTTCCAACCAGTTAATGTACTGGGAAATGTTGAGCATTGTTGACCTGGACAGGATGAAACCTCATGGCTTTTATGCAAGAGAGATTTCATCACATTCCACTATGTTCTTCTTACTCCTAGTCATGTTTCTTAGCTGTGTTCAGGTTGTACCGAGCTTCTGTAAATGGTACCGCAGTTGAAATGGAGCCAGTTCCTGTCGCAGTTGAATCTCTTGACCCTCGATTTTGCTTCCTTCTTGATGCTGGTGAGACAATTTGGATCTGGAGTGGGTGGAAAGCTAGGGTACGTCACTCGTAGAATCTTTCCTCACATGTAGCTTACTTTCATGTCTTTAAATTTTAAGATAACAGTGGCCAACAAAGCTCGGTTATTTGCGGAGCGTATGAATAAGAGAGACAGAAAGGGTGCTGCTGTTATCGAGACTTGTCGCGAGCCTAAGGTGCCGCAAGAGTTTTGGATGGCGTTCTGTGGATCACCAGAGCGTCCTGAGGAGGCTATTGTAGAGCATGTTCCAGAGAACTTTGTCCCTGAAAGGAAACGGTTATATAAAGTTGGATTTTAACGAAATTTTTCATTTCTCGAAATAAATTAGCACGATCAAACGGTTTAGGTTAACATTGGTATGGGATTCCTGGAATTACCGCAAGTTGAACTGCATAAGGGAGTTGCTAAGCAGGTAACGCTCTTAAATACTTTTGTTTCGTCGGAATTTCTCATAAATTCGCCTATTTTACGAGTGTTTTCTAGGAAATGCTGAATACCAAATGTGTCTATATTCTTGATTGCACGTCTGACATATTTCTTTGGACGGGGAAGAAAGCAAACAGGTCTTCAACTTGATATGCTTGTTAAACACATTGTGTTTACTGTGATCTTAATTCAAGTGGTCTTTTTTTTTTTGGAAATTTTACTACCCCTATTTCTAAGGATTTTTTTTGTAGACTGTTGAAGATGGCGGGGCAAAAAATAGCTACCGAATTGCATCAAATGATCGAACGGCCGGACTATACTCAAGTCTCCCGAGAAACTGAAGTTGGTTAAGTAATTGCGACTCATCTCTTTTAACAGTTCTTACCTAAGAAGAGATCTTTTGGTATACGTAATTTTTTCGTTGTATTAATATGAAGTCACGTATACATAAAAGGATAAAAGGATAAAGCTCTTGACGTTGATCAATCCCTGAGCCATGCATTTGACTTCATTAGGCATCATTGGAGGTGATTGAATGCATATCGGGCCATTACAATGGCTCGCGATGGCCTATCGATGTATCGAGCCAGTGCTTCTATCCTCCTAGGCAAGTCTGGTATCAATTTGCCAACCCTGGAGGGAAGGAAGGCTTCGTGGGTCTGCGGCGCGGGGATCGATCTCCTGTGTATTTGTACGGCGCCTCCCACCACTGTACCACATGTGCCTTTACTGAACTATGTATGCATATGCATTATAAATTCACAAGTTATTGTGTTTCTACTAACCTTGATAAATTGACACAAGGTCGTTAACACTTTTTTGGCTGTCAGTCGCTAACACTTTGGCATTTCTCTTTCTTAAAAGAATGCAGGAGACCTATTAGTATATAATTTTCTTCGGTGAATATTCTACAACTCTAGTGAGAATTTAAAGAATTGACTTCATTCTCTTTGAAGAACATTCGCGCTTTCTCTTCTTACTATCTTTACTACGTTTATAGGATGTAGGACCATGTTATTTGGATAGGAATACAGTTGAAACTCATTTGGACCAAAAAATTATTCAGGGATACGGTAGATAAACAAGGATATTAAAGGTTAAAACCTGAGCCCATTAGGATAGACAGTTCGTATGAGAGCATGTGCACTTGCATATATATATATGTATATACATACATACATGCGTATACCAAGGCATATTTATCAGTGGAAAGACACCTTTCCGGCGACAGTTTAAAATTTAACCTTTTTGCATTTGTGTTGGATATGTTATTCTGTATGGCAAAAAATTGTGTTAAGGATGAAGAGTCCATGATGTTTCGGTCAAAATTTGCTGGTTGGGACGATATTATGCCGGTAGATTTCACTCGTACTTCTGAATCTGTCAGCCGTGTCCCAGATCTGAAGGTTTGTGCTTCATTAAACTATTTATTTTAGGCGAATGGATTGAGCTATGTGGTAAACAGTACTATTTTATGAATAATTTTTATTTCCGGGGCAAGAATTACTGGTTTGTACAGATAATAATTCTCTAGCGCTTTCGAAAATTGTCGAACGACAATGTAATGAACTTTCGCACGTCTATTTGCACGATGAGGTGCGAATTAAACTGAGTACAGGTTTTTTAAACTTCGGAGCCCTTGAGGTTTATTGCTTATGTAATTGAATGCTTCACATAAACTGCAACCATGTGCATTTTCTTCCCTCATTTCTTTATCTTTCAGTTGTCGTTGTTGTTTTTATGATGACAGCGAATACACATTCATTGATACTTTGCTCAAGACTCTACTCAAGAGTATTCAGTTTTGGAAGTATATTGAGTTCTTTTATATCATTTGTCGTTGCTTAATAGCCTATACCTCTCAACGGTTTACCACCTCATCGTGGCTGGGAGGTGTTCCTGGGTTTGGACTGTGGTGTACAGCGGAAGGATTCGCCCCCGCTCGGCATGGTCTCCCAAGCTGAGGAGGAGTCCGGCGTTTCCATCACGAAGCCTAGCTTGGAGTAAACCAATACCAGGGCCCACCACCGTCCTGGTATCAAACTAGTCGCATAGTGGTAAATCTCCCTCTGATCCACAAGGGCTGCGAATGCCTGTCGTGGTGACGACCTGGGGTAGACTTTGGCTAGGCTGGCCTCGGGATTCCAGAGAACTACAATGGCTTAACAGCAAATCTCCGAAAATTGGTGATTGTGCTGGGGCTCGCACAACTAGCGATGACGGGCCGTTCAAGTATCAAGTAAGTGATAGCCTATAACATAGTTGTTATATTTCCTTAAGTACATCTTAGTTTTATGTCAAAGTCGTCTCAGTCATGGTCATAAAATTGGTTATCCTCCTAGTCATAAAAATAGTCGTCTTCCCAGTCATAAAAATTGTCATCCTCTTTAGTCCTAGTCATAAAAATAAGATTTTGTTCTTTGGAACTCTGAAGTTGCTAAATATGCGCCTTTTAGTTTTTGGGTTTTAGAGGTTGAAAAACGGCTTCAAACTTGCTTCATAAAATTTCCTAGCAACTCTTTTATCTCATTGTCCGTACAATTGGAGCTCTTGAGATATGTACAGAATGTTTCCGTTTGCGTTGTGTCTACGGATAGACCTACTTCTCATAGTTCCTTCAGAAATGTTGTCTTCTTCCTCATAGTTCTCTATACAAGCAGATACATTGAAATGAGGTGACCAGCTTCGGTAAAGTTTCTCATAGTTAACTGAACTTAGGTTCCGAACAATATCTACGTATACTTTGACCCTATAGAATCCGTATGCGCTTGGGATACAATGAGTAAAAGCCATTGTAGCATTCAGCACAGGTCAATGAAACAGCAATTGATGTTACGTGGTTCTAAAGCAGGATTGTCAAGGGTAAAAGTGTAACTGTTCTTGTAATACTCACTGCATATCAAATTTTTTTCGAAATTCTTGGCCGCATTTCTGTTCCGATTCAGTTATCCAATAAAACTAAGCGTAATTTAGAGGAAATAGCAAGAAAAAGACCTTACTTTTGCTCTTTCCGTTTCATAGCAAGAGTTTTTCCTTTGTTCGTCTTCGCTGACAAACAACGTGAAACATGTAACTTTGATCAAATAGATTGACTGTCAAAATTTTTTTTCCTTTAGTTTGAAATTCTTCTTTTCGTATATTTTGCTAACAGAAGATGTAGTGAGGGTTTGGCTCCAAATTGATGTCGTCAACTTCATGGTTGTTTCTGCCATAGGATGGATAGGCGTTGAAGAGTCGAATGCCCTGTCGAGAGTGCTAATACGAAAGCTCCATATCAGGCAGGTTAGGGAGGAAATTCGGCATTTTCTACGTTTTCGATTATGGAAACTCGAAAACGCTTGCATAGCTGCATGTAACTAATTGACGGCCACTTTGCATAATTCGTTTGTGATTGGGTTTCACGATATGTCAAATTTACAAAAAAAGCGATCACCAACACGATGGCCTGGTTTCTTCACGAAAGCTATAGGGCATTTGTATTCTTCTTTTAGTAAGCAGAGCCTAGTGGGAAACTCTAGAATCTGGCACTAATAGGTAGAAATCTCACTTTCGTTCCATTATATTCATTCAATCTTTAACGCTAAATAAGCTGTACAGTTGTTCCAACATACCAAGTAGAAGACTGTCGTAGTGCTTGTCGGTAGTTGGTGTTTACCATTGTTCGTTCAAAGTGTCATATCTGAAATGGGAAACTTGCATAATTTTGGGGAAGAATGAAACTCTATCTGTGATTGTTTATGCTGGAAGGCCAATGAACTTTTTAAGCCATGAGGAATTTTCAGTGCTAGCACATCTTTTAACCCAGTTTTTGACTGAGGACGTGAATTTTGCAAAAATCCCGACATCAATAGTGGTTTTTTTCTTGAATCATTTCGAATATTGTACTTCGAACCTTGAAACATAGTACGAATCTCCAAGCGAAATTAAGTTGTTGAGTCAATATCACTTCGTAATAACTAGGTTCTTGATGCGGTAATAAGTTGTGCTCAATGTACGTTTTTTAATATGCTCAACGATTTTCACATTTTCTAGCCGTTTTTTTCTAGGTATTGGTTAAACGTGAGAACATGATGCGTACCGACCTTACGGCGTTGTTTCTGGATCGTCAGCCTGCAATGTCGCATGAGGAAAGCGAGGAATTACTGAAGGACTGCAACGAAGATTTAGAATTTATCGAATCCTTTGTTTTGGTACGGATACGAATACTACTTTAGTGATTTTAGGCAGTGTGTATACCATTTAATGACAATACTGTGGGTTTCAACATGACTTCAGGAAGGGAAAAAATTTGTTCGGCTACCAGACGGTGAATTCGGTACATTCTACACAATGGATTGTTACGTATTCCTTTGCCGTTACGCTGTCATTCCATACGAATCGGACGGCGAAAGTGATGCAGATGATCAAGAGGTGAAATATTGGTATTACCACTTCACAAATCTACTTTCCTTTAACTTTGGTGTGACAAATCAACATGTGTTTAAATTATTGAGCTTACACGAGGTCGATAGTGAAGTTTATTCGGCTAACGTTTTGACGTCTTCATCTTCATCAGAGCCGATGATCGGAGTCGATAGTCCACAGTTGTTCATCTTCTCAATGTGACGTTTTCGTCTTTGTATCGAGTGGGGTCTTACTTAGTGGAGCACGTCTCGAATAAGGCATATCCTCAGGTCTCTCATTCGAGCACCTCTCGAATGAGTAAGACCCCACTCGATACGAAGACGAAGACGCTACATCAAGAAGATGAACAAATGTGGACTATCGACTCCGATCATCGGCCCTGATGAAGATGAAGACGTCGAAACGGTAGCCCAATAAACCTTATTATCAACCACGTCTAAGTTCAACAATGTAAACACATGTTGTTTAGTGTTACCCTTTAATTTTCATCCATTTCAACTCAATTTCGCACCTTTTTTCGCAATTTATTCGCTTCTTTTGCTTGATGTTAACAATATTTGAGAAAACTTTTCCTGTTTTTTTAACAAAGCGGCTTCGGAAATTTTTAAAAATGATCTGATACCACGTGTTCTTCCGATCTCAGCACTTCTTTCAATTTATTTCAATTGCTGGATCGGGTATTGCTTGAGGGTTCCGATCTTTTCTGTGAATGTCGTTGAATGCCGGTCAATTAAATTCTTTTAAGAATCTTGGGATACCTGTAGTAGGGCGTTTCGAGATCTTTTCCACGTGTAGTCGTCAGTCTTTACGGATTGTAGGAGCTCTTCCCAGACAAGTTTGGTACCAACTCCACGAGCACGGAGCATGGAAGGTTTCATTGCTTGGGCGGTATCTTTATCAAAGAACGCGTGTAGCGTAGTGGTGTGGTTAGTGGTGCTTAACAATGCAAACGTGGCCTTTGATTCGACCACGCAACATCGATCCACCAAACCCCACAAATGTTTAAAATTTCAAAAATGAATATTTCTTTTCCAATTTTCTGGCAATTTCTATTCATGGCCTTTTAAATCTCAAAGAAAATCCTTTAAAGGAAGGATATTATCCTATTTCTATTATTGTCTTATTATTTGTATTCTGTATGTGCTATAAAAATTCTTCGTGCTCTTAAGGCGATAAAACGAAGTCTCTTGCATAATATTACATAACTGATATAGTTATTTTTATGATCTTATAAACTGATGTTTTTGAGCTAATGCGAGGCTGTTATAGGTTTTCGTTGTCGTTGTCGTTGTTGTTTGTGTTGTTGGCGAAATCGCCGAAACGTAAACCATTGACCAATCACACCAACGATAACGACAACGTCAATGAAAACCTATAACAGCCTCGCATCAGCTCAAAAAGATCAGTTTATAAAATCATATAAATATATAAATCAACTATTTATGCCGATGTTTATAGAAAGTCGATATTTTGAAATTTCTTACATAAGTTTACGAAGTTCTAAACTTTTTAACACATGCACAGCCACCGTTGAGTTTGCAAAGGCCAAAACTATCGTGAACTCATCTGCGATCTAAACGTCCCAAACGCTGGTTTTTTCGACAACAGGCGCTAAATTTTCGACCGTTAGAGAACTTGTGGGGTTGCCAGCATCAAAAAATCATAAAATCGGCTCTGCTTTATCCTTTTAGAGATATGTAGTTATCACAACATGCTACGTTTTACTATGTTATCTTTTTTTCGTTTCTATTTTTCATTTTTTTAAATAGTTTCTTATACATTTTATCTACCGAGCACATTGCTGTCAGAATTTTGGAGGATCTTGTTACTTATTTTGAATGTATTTGGGGATTCCTTGAAACCGACAATTACATACGGTAGTAAACATATCCATCGTAGCAGATATAGATGAGAAGCTTTGAATTACTGGTTAAAAATTCAAACTCTATGTACCCTACACAAGCGAGATTTTTTTTTCTGATAATCCCCGTTAGTTCTTGGAAACTAAAGGACTTGTCAAGTTTGTGACCTGAGGTACTTGTGAAAGAAACCTTTCTGTATCAGTGATAACTTTGCCAAAGCGTAGTTTTGATTTTATGTTTATTTAAAATTAGAACTTTCATAAAAATTCAGTTTTCATTATAATCTAACAAGGGAATTTGCATCTTGTTGGCTAAATTATCTAGATTTCGGTGGTTTTCGTTCTAATTCATGAAGTTCATTGCGAGCTGAGATACGTTTTTGAAAGAGGAACTGCCTTCGTTTCCGTATGAATTAGAAGTAAAGATCGATCAATCGGTGTAAAAATTGACATGGTGGAGTTTTCTTCGATTTTTACCAGAGAAATCAGAGCCACTGTGCTTTCGTTCTTGAAGAATATTCTAGAGGATCGGTTGAGTACATAAGACTCTCTCTTGTGTGGTTATCATCGTCCTTCTTTTCTTTATCGCCATATTGTTTTTGTTCCCTTTTTTCTTTATCTTGACATCACCGACGTTTTCACTTTCATAAGATTCTCTTGCTTGTCCTTTTGGTTTTTTTTGGTCAAGAATTCAATATTAAAACATTGAGCATCTCAGCTGACGACGTTTTCAACTTTGGCCTCGATCGACATCTCACCGAGAGTGATATCGAAGAAACTGGAGATGCGGAGGATCGGTACGCAGAACCGAGAGATTTTTATGATTTTTTATGTCTAATATTTGGGAATTGGCCCTGAACGAAGCTGGATATTGGACAGTTGGTAGCGTAACGGAATCGGAACAGGGTAATACTGTTACAATGGAATGACAGGAAAGGGCGTCATTACGATGTCCATACTTCACTACGTGTCCATTCATCCAGCTTGTCAAAACCAGATTGAAAACTACAAAGAGAAGAGATTTTCATCTTCACGAGTGATCAGATGGCGCTCTAATGCCCCTTCGGTTTGAACAAACTTGCAAGTGATATGTATATTTTCATCTCTTCATTGGTTACATACATCTTTTTCCACCTATAATTTAGGTAAGTACAGCTTTTTCCACTGATCTTTCACATGTGCTTGATCAGTGATGGAGTATGTGTAATAAGCGCGTGCAAAAAACTTTCTCCCTTCAACTTCAAGGTGGACGTATATTTCTCTTATGATGAACGCGAGAGTACTTCGACACCGTCGACTGCTCATTTCGCTGAACAAAGCAGCACCAAAGGTTCGAAATAATCAAGACGACTTGCGTGATGATACGAGGCCGTTGTGGATGGGCACGATAGCAAATACGCTGCTGTATGTGCTAGAAAGGTTAGCACAAGTTGCAGGAGGAAACATTACTTACCTGGGTACTTGGATGGCTCGTTCTCACTGGTTGTACAGCCCCCACCATAATCTCCATTTTTCGGAGTTTTTTTTTGGTTTAGCCATAGTGGTTTCCTGGAGTCCTGAGGTCAGCTAGGCCAAAGTCTGTCCGAGGTCGTCACCACCATAGCCAGTCGCCGCCCTTGTGGATCAGATGGAGATTTGCCACCATGCAACTAGTTTGCTACCAGGACGGTGACGGTTCATGGTACTAGTTTATTCTTAGCTAGGTTTCCTGATGGAAACGCCGGACTCTCTCTTAGCTTGGGAGACCCTCCCAGGGCATAAATCCCCCGCTGTATATCGCAGTCCGACACCCAGGAACACCTTCCAGCCACGATGAAACGATAAACTTTTGGGAAGGGAGAAAACATTATTGCTTAGAATGTTTCAATAAGTGTATTGGAGCGTCTGTATAGAAGGCACAATCTTCTGTGGGAAGATTACTTATTATAGCCAAGAATTGGAAGTTTTAAGTGAAGTGTAGCAGCTTTCGGATACGTGAGATCGATCTCTGAATAACCTCTGTCGATTTTAATAGTAGGCAGAAACTGCAGGATGTTATTGTTATTCTTGTTGCCGTTTTTAGTTATTATTGCTAAGTAATGTAAGTAGAATATATATGTCGTAAATATGTATATTCTTATTTTTTTTTACAAATGTCGTAAAACGCTGGTCGAGTCCATTCTCTTTCAATTTTGGAGATAGCTTGGCTAAGGCGTTTTTTATGTGGATTGGGGCAGAACATTGGATAGGGGATGGAACTAGTTCCTTTGCTTACTGGTCGACCGCATCACTAGAAACTGCGTTATCCCACGTATGTACATTTTAAAATAAATGTGAAATGAAAACGTTACAAGAATTGCCAAATAAAAGAGGTTGTAAAAATAAAATTTCTTAGAGCGTGCTTCAAAGGACTAAGCAAATTAAATGTTTTTAATCCCATTGATCACGACGTGCTCATTGAAAACAACCATTATGAAGAAATCTACGCAATAGTCTTATCGCCATCTTATCGCAAAGATTTCGCTAGTTGTAGAATTCCAGTGTTCAAGTAAAGGCATTACCTATGTCCTCTTCACTAGTGAAACTTTCTATGCTGCACGTTGTTTTCAACGGCAGTACTCTTTCGCCGCAAAATGATCTCGTCCAAAGAAGTCTTTTTTTTTCTTAAATTACAAGTGTAGAGAACAGCTTTTCGCGAACCAGTTTGGGTTTGCCTTTCACAAGCCATCTTAAAAAAATACAAGCTATAGCGCAGTAAGAAAAAACGCTCCTGTAATCCTTTGGACAGGCGTGACACGACATCGTGTTAAGAGCTCGTGTGTATGCTAACACTTTCGCGACGACTCCTAATTTCGCTCTTTTGCGGAGTGGACGACGCCTAACTTTTCGCTGTGCTCGTTGTAATATAAATGGATGTCACATCGGCCACTCAGGCAGTTTTTAGCCAGCTCCGCCCTCTTTGTTGTAATTCCCGTTGTGTAAGTCGGTTTTATCCCGGTTTTTGAAAAATTTCTGCACTTTTCGTAACCTTTATGTGCTTTATGTTTTTCTATACACTCGCCCACATGTTTTTAGTCCATATGTAATTCTCGTGTTTGAAGAAAAACACTCGTTCACTATGCACTCGTTCTGCTTTCTGCATTTAATGAATTTGAAAAGTTTCCAAGGACTATTACAATGTTCACCTCGTAGTTTTGACATTCTTTCATTCCATAAAATGTCTGAAAGTCGTCAAAGCGATTGAAAAGTAGAATGATACTGCACACTGCATTAATGATGCGCATTTGGCGCAGTTAGAGGTGCCCTACATTACACAAGTGGTCCTTGTTTCAATCTCACGACCCGTGCTGACCATACCCTCCATCACTCCGAGGTCCGTAGATTTTTAGCGGACTTGCTTTACGATTTATTTTTTATCCTTTTATAGTTAAGTATTAGAGTTAGCAGTCGAAAAGGAACTATTCGACGTAGACATTAGATTTATATGAGAGCACCTTGTGTTAGTCAATATTTCGTCGTTTGGAATTTTTAGAACCAACAAGATTTCAAATGTGTGCTATACTTTTGGCAAGGTCGTGATGCGTCAAATATGGGATGGTTGCACTTTACCTTCCAGCTTCAACCTACCTTTGAAAAGATTTTCAAAGATAAATTAGAGGTTTGTTGGGAAAGAACATCTCATTTGTATAACATATTGCCATTTTAGTGAATTTTAGGTGGTTCGAATGCACCAGCAGCAAGAAAACCATAAGTTTCTATCGCATTTCCATAGGAAATTCGTTATCCGTCGTGGCCGTCGTGGTTTAACGCGAAATCTGGGTGGAAAGTGGCCCGAGCTGTTTCAGATGAGGGCGAATGGGTCCGATATTTGCACGAGAACCATACAGATAGACTGTCGGTGAGTGTTTCGGGAATTATCAGATGTTTGAACTGGTTTCACGCTAGCAAACGTTTGTTGAGGCGGAGGGTTCGAAACGTAATGTTTCAATTTTTTTACTCTATCAGTAAAGTAGAAACCATTGCGACCGTTAGTTTGTTGACATGGGATGAGCTAAAATCCTGTCTACATAGACGTAGATCTGTGGGTTTGATAAAGTTGGAAACATGAAATAAATGATTACATCAATTGAAAATAGAAGTTTTAATAATCTAATGTTACAAATATTTGACTTCATTGGCTGTCCAAATGCTTCGTATTTTTTTTCATTGACAACCTAACACAAGGTTGATAAGAAAAATGAAACTTTATTCTGCTAACGTTTTGGTACCTCCACCTCCTTTAGAGCTAGATTCAACCCATTCGATTATCTACAATCATTCGTACTCGTGTTGCACGTCTTCGCAGTCGTTCGAGTTGAATCTTCGTGAGTGGGGCACCACACGAATGAAGTAACCTCACTCGGCGGCGTCCTCTTATGCAGGACGGTTATTGATACTGATTGTCCCTTGATAGTCGTTTGTTTTTCTCCAGACAATCCGTTCTGCAGCAGTCGGTATCATTATGGGCTAGCACAGAACGTAGCAATATTTCAAAAACCGGTTTTCCTTGCCTCAGTATGACTAATCAACATGTATTTTTTCCATTAATAAGTTCTCACGAGATTGCTAAACAAGTTTGTTCGGCTAACGTTTCAGCGCATTCGCTTCTTCAGAGCGGAATTGATCCGAATCTTTTATCCATATGGTTCGTCCTTGTGTTATAGCTTCGTTGCCGTTAGCAAAAATAAAGTACATGGTGAATAATCAAATCGATGTTAAAGGAAAGTCGGTTTTTGAAATACTTCATTTTTATTCAACCGTTTTATTGGTTGCGGAGGATACATGCTTCATCATACGCTACAATTAAATCACTAAAGAGTTCCTTTTTTGTCCACTCAATGGAGACGCAGAACAGGTTTCGTAATGACGACCTCGTTACTAGTTTTTCAATTTTGGGCATTTTTCAACTTCTCATTTTGGTCTGGTGGTCCGAAAACCATTCGTTTGCGTACACCTAGTTCTTACGCCATCTTTCTTAAACGTTCTGTGCTACATTGGTAAACTTCGTTGACGTCTAGAAATTCTCATTATCTATGGTAGTAAATGGTAATAAATTTTTCATCTCCATCGCCTTCTACACCATTTTTTTTTGTATATGCGGTTGTTAACGATTCTCTAGTCAAATACTAAGGCGAAATCGGTGACCATTTTTGTGGCTTTGCCCCAAGACTGATTTTCTCTAAACAAGTTCAGCTCAAATTTTTCGCTTTTATATTCTCGTTTAGCAAACAAGAGGTGTTATTATTTCTTTATTTACGCACGAGCTGATTTGGCCTTCTACAGAGTCTGGAAATGTCAATTTGACCGCAATCTACCACACACACCAAACACCTCTATAACCGAACAGAGGAAATCCTAAACCAAGATTTCAATCATATTGAACACAGAATAACTTCTTTGCACACTCACCGCTTTCTATGTCTTCCACCGATTATGTCACGTGGAGACCAATCGCACAGAGTCCACATGGAATCGTAATGTGCCTATCCAATCAGAGCAACAAGCTTGTATACTGTCCAATATCCCACGTGATTATGAGGCATTCCTCCTTGCGGTTCATTTTCGAATTCTTGGATTTAATTCAAAATGCCTCGAGAGTTTGTGCGCTTTTGTTTTCGATTCCTGTGCGAGGATCGTAACTCCCACTTCAAAGTCCTCTCCGTTATATCTTTGTGTCATATGCGTACCTATTGGAGTATTTAGTTTAAGTTTACCGACTAGGTGTTCTTTTATACCGACGCAGAGTGGTCTATCCGTTTCGCCAATGTATTCGTCCCCACACGCTTTACAAGAGATTAGATGAACTGTACTCGAATTCATGCAATCACTGCCTCTACCGTTTGGGCAAGTTATGCAGTTTTGCACATAGACGCGCATACAGGCGCTTACGAACTGGCTGGCCTCTTAGAGTACTTGGTGGAATTTCAATTGCGTTCACCGAATTCTCTACACTGCCTTTTCTTAAGCAACGTTTTATAGCTGCATTTAGTTCATTTGAAATGAAAGGATAATTGGGATCTTATTGTCGCCAGAATTGTCGTTTGGGGGCTTAGGTTTTCCTATACAGTTTCGTAGCCATTAGAAACTGCTGTTTACTGCGCCAAGTTCCGGAGTTCCTCCCTCTGCTATCTTCCTGTGTACACGATGGTTGCTGTTTGAAACATGTTTCTTATAAGCCTACAGGTCAATAGCACGGTTGGGAGACAGGCGAAACGAAGGATCCGCATGATGTGGTGGTGAACGCGTTAGCTCCCGGATAGCGTAATAGCGTGTTCGGTCCCCACCGCAGGCGCCAGCGGTCCGGAGTTTTGCCGAGATCTCAGCAACATTGCGGGTATGTTTCTTATAAGTGGCCGTTTTGTATATGAGGGCTGAGATGAGAGCTAATGAACAAGTGTGTTTTTACTACTTGCCTTTCGGTACCAATTCGTAATGTAGCCGTTTTCTCATAGGTTAATTTGCACGTTCAACAATTGAAACCAATTTTCTTTCGGGTGAACTTTATACAATCTGGCTGTTCATTCAGTAACGCAAAACACTTGTCCATTTCCTTTTGTGTTGAGCAAATGTTAAAGCAATCATCTATATACCTGCACTGGAGTAATGGCTTGAGATCGATTACTGGTGCTTCCACTTTGGACATAAATGCGATGGCAAGACTTGGTGCCAGTCGTTGTATCATTGCCAGCCGTCTCATTTGAGAGTAGTACTTCCTGGACCATCTGAAGGTCGTGTAGTTTAGGCACTCCTTTAAGAATGTTATCAGCTGTTGAACCGTTAAGTCATACATATTTATTTCTTCTTCATGTTGTACAAGTAGTTCGCCGATGGCTTGCATAGCGGAGTCATTCGACACGTTTGTACAGGGGCGGCAGGGGCGAGGGACTCTATCACGTACGCGCTGTTGGGACGAGCGTTACGTTGACAATTCAGGAACATCTGGGTGTTCGTTAGATGGGCTGGAATGTGTTTTAACAACTGGGTAAGTATTAGGGTTATAAACCACGTTATTCTATCCGTTGGCCTGTCTACAGAGCTAATGACAAGTCTAACCTTAAATAACAATGAATTGGAAGACACAAGATCATCACTGGGTACCGACTTATGAGTTCTGATTAGTATGCGACAGGACATGTTAGTAATTCAAGTTGAAGTTGCGAAATAGCTGATAGTTTTAAACCAACTGGTTTTGCCACTTTAACTCATTGGTTGTTCAATTTTCGGTATTGATTTTTGAATTCCTTCTCAGATGGACGATAAAGGGAAGCATCTTCAAAATTATGTTTCGTTATCTCAATATCTAACTGATGAGGAATTACAACCTTTATCACTAACGGATAGTCTTATATTTTTGAACCTTATCAGCTCTCGTACCTCCCGCGTACCACATTTTTGCACTTTATTGAGGTTATTTCATTGACGTTCTTGAGCGATGTCTTTTTGCGCGATAGTGATTAAGGACTTTGAAAATTTCATTCGTATACATCCGTAAGTTAACGTCAACTTCATTATTGGGTTCTTGTTTGATCAAGAACGATTGGAGAAATGGTGATATCGGTAGTGCGCTTATTTGTTGTTGTTCGCGCCTATTTTCGCCTCATCTCAAGCTGTTTTGCGGAGTCTATCTTGAAGTTCATGTAAACTACATACTACTCTACTCAAGGCTACCTTAGAAATGTGTTCAAGTGGTAAGAAACTTGGGTCCAGTACCCATAACGAACGCGCCTCACCAGGGAGAGTCATGCCTCCTAGCACGGTTAGCCTTGAATTTTCCTGCACATTATTTATCCTACGTTTATCGTTTTTATTTTAATGCCTTAAATTATACAGAACTTGGCAGAGAAACAAAAATGTTACCACAGTAACATGGAGCCAAATTTGCACTTTGAAACGATGTATTGAGCAGTAGTAAGCGAAAATTATTTGTATAAATAAATGCCCGAAGTTTTCGTGCTGAAAGTCCAATGTTCCCTGCTGATTAATTAACTGCTTATATCGAGCTTTCTCAAGCTTTCAAAATTTGATCATTCATTTATTTATTTGTTTTTTATTTTATTACTTTTATTAATTTTTTGTTTGTCGTTTATTTTTCTTTTATTATTAAATTGCTGCCATCAATCCATGAGTTATTAGTACTGATAATGGCTAGTTATCAAATTGTGGGGCGGATAGCCTAGCTGTAGTGATGTCGATCATCACGAGCATGGTGCTAGTTCGATTCCGCTCTGGGCTAACCAAGCCTCTCATCCCTCCGGGGTCGGGAAATTGGTACCGGAGTTGTCCGGGAAAAAATCACTCTTTGCCATCCAATTGGGAACGCTCCATTCCGGCTATCTCAGGACTCCAAAGAGACTAGACTCGACCAGCATTCTACGACATTCAAGGTGAAGTGGAAATCCGCAATAGCCTAAACCACATGCAAAAAGTTGGAAGATATTCCTGGATAATGCGAGGAAATGAATCGAATGTGAGAAGTGCTGGGATCCCCACAGTAGACGTGAAGACGGTTGAGATAAAATAAAAAACAATAAAGGTATCAAATTGCAATGCGACTGTAAACTAGCAGTAGACTCGTTGGTGGTGGGAGTCTGTAAGGTCTTGTATAAATTGTACCGAAGATGGCTCCGCAAAATTCAACTTTTGCTGAGCTTTTAAAACGTCCTTGAAGAACTCCTGAAGCGTCAGCAGATTGTTCTCTGTCATCTCAATGGTGCACTGATCTTATATGGAAATTCATTTTATACGGAAGGTTTTAGAAGTATCTTTTTCAGAATTTTCCTGGTTTTAAAATTGTCTTCTTCAGACCTCAGAAATATTCTGTTGGTTTAGTACTACAACGTTTCTCAAATTCTTCAAATACACAAGTTGGCAACAGCTGTAGTTGTTTTTTTTTTTGAATGATCTAGTTCTCTTATTTTTTCAGTGCAACGGAGCTCTGTTCTGGTTTCTGTCACATTTTGCGGGCTCCATTTAAGGTTAAACGTGAAGATGACGAAAAAGGCATTGTTTACGTATGGTATGGAGCTCAAAGTGACTCAAATGAACAGGAATTTGCGCGAAAGGTACTTGCCTGTTTGTTTGTTTTTTTAAGGAAAATACTATTTAGAATGTAAAGGAGTTTTTTCATCCATATTTGACGGATTTACAGTGGTTGAGTCGTTCTTGGTGGGTGAGAGGTGCTCTGCGATGTTGAACTGCCAGAGCAGTGGAGATATATCACTCCAGCCTGATCGCAAAACCTGAAAAGAAGTTTGACATTTCTAACTGGATGCCTGGATTAGGTTTCTATGCAGCAGTGGTGCACGGATAATCGCTTTAAATACGTTCTGGTCAAAAATAGTGAGATAAGCGCAACATCTAAAGAGCTTAACATCGCTTGTGACTCTTGATCAAACGGCACCTAATAAATGGCTCAGGTACAGTACAAGTACTATTGGGACCTTCTTGTATTACTCGAGGATTAGTGAGATCAAAGATGATACGGATGTTTTTAACAAAACATTCTCATTTTACAGCAGCAAGAACGATTAGATATGAGCAAAACTCGTAGTCTTAGTTGCACTTGGAGCACGCGATGACCCTTTCCGTGGGGTCACTATCCTATCTGAGACCATTGCTTTACATTCCTCCTAGCTATTTTTTTTTTACTCTTCCGGTGCTACCAGCAATCAACCCCCAACGGAAATGATCTAGAGAGCACAAAAGCGTTGAACTTGTTTGAGATGAAGGTTTACTCGGAATATCAGTGTTTGAATTTGTGTTTAACATAGCATGTAAACCCCGCAAAGAGTAACCGCGGATTCAACGACCAATTAAGGTTGTTTGCTTTGTTCTTATCAGCATCCTTGCAGTTGTATTTGACATAATACTCTACCGTGAAAATGGAATACGCAGTAGGTAAAAGTTAAAATATTTCACATTTTAGGTTGCAGAAGAAATGATAAATCGCCATGATGAATCGTTTCCAATACAAGTGATCAGAGAGGGTGAAGAACCAGACGATTTTTGGGAGTACATAGGAGGAAAGAAAAAGTCTGGTTTTATTCTATATTCGATGTATTTAAATATTGCCTTTGTGTTGACGTGTAGACCTATCTTGTTTTTCTAATGAATAGTGACTATTATTAAGATTTCGTCTCGGACCAGCTCATGTATTGTGTAGTTCCTGATTTGACCTTGAAGTTAGTGCTGGCTCTGTCTGCATTCTGTACAAACTGAGCTTCCCTCATATTTTAACGTTTCCTAATCGCCGAAATAATGAGAGAGCTGAAAAAAATGGTTGTCGTTTCTCATTATAAATCATTAGTGGGGGTTGTAAATGTCGAAAATTATATGCCATTGCTTTCCAAGGACATATTTTTCCATGCGACTGCTCGTGGTTTTTTTTCTATTTTGACGTAGACCTCACTTTTAGTTATGAGAAGGACTCGTCATTCTTCCGATATACGCGACTTTTCCGTTGCACCAATGAGAAGGGATATTTTGCTGTGTCAGAAAAAACCGTAGATTTTTGTCAGGTTTGTATTTCTCTTGTTTATTTTTAAGTCCTCTGTTTGAAAAAGATTTCAGATTTCTCGACGAAACTTTCTATTGTTCATTTAAGCACTTTTTTTTGAAGGATGATTTGGACGATGATGATATTATGGTATTGGATAACGGAGATCTCGTATTCCTATGGTTAGGTAGTCGAGCTAGTGAAGTCGAAGTAAAACTTGCCTATAAAGCTGCCACGGTATTTGTTACTACAGTTACACTTTGGTTCATTTTGCTTCTCTTTCTACCGTTTTTACACTAATGTAAAGGATTTTGCTGTTCTGGTTTTCTTCCCATTACTTTAAATGTTGTTAATCCGAGTTTTTATTTTGCTTTATTGGGTGTAGAATAAGTTTCGAGACCGTGAAACGTGCGCGAAAGGAGCGTTCGTGAATTCTAACCGTTTACTGATGTACCGTATAATTTTTAGGTGTATGTGGCACATCTGAGAATGCGTCAAACAGATCGTCCACGCACTTTGAAGTTGGCAATAAAGGGCAAAGAGTCCAAACGTTTCAGGAAATGTTTTCACGCCTGGGGACGGCATAAAGTGCGTTTTTATTGTGTTATAAGAAAATTGATCCATTTCAACCTAAACGTCAGATTTCCATATTTAGTCTTATGATAGACTTATATATTTTCTGAAAGCTTTTTTAGCAATAATCCAGTTCGAATTTCAAAAAATTTGATCAGTTTACGAAATTAAACAGAGTTTCGTATCTTAGTTGTTTTAACCGTTCAAGTTTCCTCTATGCAACATGCGTTAGCGCATTCACGTTTATCTGAATTGGTCGGTCAGCGTCCATCACATGTTTCTGTTTCCAATTTATTTTGTCGTCTTCCTGTCAGTAATTCTGTGTTCATTGATCTCACTAGGATTCAAAGAGTTACAATGGATGACTCCATCTGAAAGCACAAGAAAACTCTTTTTTAAAAAAGCAAGAAACTCTTCGTAGCCAACTAATAACAAATTTGGGAAGTTTTTAGGTGCTTAATTTTATTCATAACTTTTTAAGACAGAGTCAATTTTTAATCACTTCTTTCCATACATGCAAAACTTTGCGCAGAAGAAATGTGGTACAGGGTTCATAACGGCATATCTGCTTTTCACTTAACTCACTCGATACTAATTTGTTGAGTTCTTTACCCTTTCCAGTTGGTTTTCCGGAAATCTGTGGGACGTTATCAATTGATCTCCTTCAAATAATGTCATCACTTAATGTAAACTGGTCATCACTGCAGTGAGCAGGTGTTTCCCGACGCACTTCATTTCCATAACTCTCATCCTCACCACGAAGCTTTCGAAACCAATGTTAAATCGTGTTCTCGTTGACGGTTCCCTTATGTTTTCCGAGCTTCCATGGATTTATGTTAAAGTTTAAACTAGGGCAGAGATCGTTAGAATTCTCTGTTTAAAACTTTTGCGTCAATAGACTAAATTTGGGGCGCGTATGGACAATAGCGGACGAAAATTTTCAATTAAACGGGAATAGGCAGAAATGTAGAACGAAGTCAGTGTTCCGTTTGAAGGACGTAAAGGGAAAATGCGTAAAACTCTTTCAACACTTACTTGGCCCATCTTTACGAGTTGTATGGACCCCGGCGCATTTTCTGTTCGTTTCCTTGCATCGTAATCGTGTTATAGGTTGGTGGTTTGATCTGACCATAGTGGTCTGTGCTAGTCTCATAATCTGATCTCTAAAAACAACTGCAGTAGTGAGTACAGCTGGTTAACTTCACTTACGAATACATGCGTTCAATGTGTAGGTGGTCGTCTTAGGGGACGCTTGGGTCCCCCTGGGGTCATTGTTCAGCTCTTTTCGTCTATCTGTCGTCTATTCTCATTGTAAAACCGGCCCATCGATGTTTCGCTATCGATGTATGTTATCCTGGATCTCGTAGATGGGATAGACTCTGAAGATCAGAGCTTCGCATTGCGCCTGGACGTTGTGTGCACCGGATACGGAAGACGTCGTTCAAGCGCTATGTGAGTAATGCTGTATTCTTGCCGTGGCTGAAGTTCCGGCCTCTGCGCTGCATACTAGAGCTTTGGTGAACTGTTGAATCAGAAGCATGGGCATCGATTTCTAGGTTCTTTAGTTGCTCGATGGCTTCTTTGAAAAGCGCGAATGCAGCTCATGCTGCTCTTCCTTTGTCTTATTCCTCCTTCATGCTGTTCTCCGTGTTTATTGAACGCCCAGGGCACATATGGTCTCTGTAGTCCGAGAATTATCTAGTTTCATCTGTTCATTATCGCACTATGGGTATTTCACGAACTGGGTCTTCTTCCGATTTAAACGTAGTCCGATCTTTTTTCTCCATTCCTTGTGCTCGTTGATCATCGTCCAAAGCTCACGGGAAGTCATAAATTTTGGGAGAGAAAAAGTTTGGAATAAGATAGGCTTGACAGGTTTTAAATTAGATGGTCTCATGAAGCCGTACTCAGATTCACATCTACATTACTTGAAGGAAACCTTGAATAAACACTTAGCTCTGTGGAAGTCGTCCCTTTAATCCACAGTGGGCTACTCAATCGTGGCGTAATCCTTTCATCAACTTTCTGATGACTTATAATTTCTTCCGTTATGTTCGTGTAATTTTTCACACTTGAAATCTCTCAGGGTCTGTCACCCCAAATATATATATTTTTAATCCAGCATAGCTGAGAAATCCGTAGTAAAGGAAGGCAAATTATAGGAATTCAAGAAGAGAAATCGTATTAACACTATCCATTAGGTGTAAAAAAAGAGCTTCTCTAGAAGTCAACGTTTTTAAACAAACAGATTCTTTATTTTTTTAAAGTGTTACTTTTCAAACCAACAAGCAAACGATCCTTTTCAGATTCCAGCTGGAGACTAGGTCAACTTATAGCCAGCTAAACTTATTATCTAGTCATATTGATTGTAAGATTTCTAATAGATCCAATTTCTCACCACTCATTACGTCGTTTTACTTTTCAATGCTATTGTATCGTTGTACAGTAAGCATTTAATGTGCCTTATACGTGCGATGCGGCTTTCTAGGTTCACTTTTTAACTTATTGTTTTATTCTTCCTCATAATTACAACTTGATTTCCGTACTCAAACCTAGTGTTACCCATTTTCTTTAAATTAGCAGGAACTCGCTACACTCACTGGTTAAGGCGTGCATATTTCTCTAACAGTACACAGGTGCTTTAGTAACTTGGTGACCCTTGCTGTGAATGAAATGTTTGTAGATAATTTTTTCTTTTTTATTATGTGCGATTGTCTGTTTTAAATATAAAGATCGGACACTACACTAACTTTTGTAACGCAAATCTTGATTTTGTTGTTCCAGCTCTATCGGTTCCTTCGTCGAAATGAATTGCAAATTGTTTTTGTATTTTCCTACTGAAATCGCCAAAAATGAATTCGATTTGTTGAAGGTGGACACTATTAGATCCGGGCACGTTTTTTATGATTGCTAGGCATTATTCGTTCATTTCATTTACAATGTCGTGGATCACTGTCCCTTACTCTGTTCCCAGTTAGGAACGGTATACAAATATCGTTAGGTGATTCTTCGTGTTTTTGTTGAGCAAACGCGAGGTGTTATTATTCTTTATTCACGAATGAGCTGACGTTTCGGCGGATTTCGCCTTCCTCAGAGCCGCTTTCTATGAGGTCTCCACTAAGTATGTCACGTAGAGACCAACCGCACAGAAATCACATGGAAGTATAATCGTTAGGTGACTTAAGAGTGGAACTTACTGTCAACACATTCGCGACGACACTAGTATTGTATGGCACCCATATAGCCAAAAGTAATACGGCTTTAAAGAAATATGCCTCAGCTCATTGCAAACTTTTTTAAGTTACTGCTCTATCGATGAGTAGACACAAAGTTGTGGAAGCACTATTTTATTACCACACATTACTGGACCGTTGGACAAAGAATAGAGGATTGAGTGATCACTACTTTATAGATACACTCCACATTGAGCATGAGCGCCTTATTATGGCTGAACCGAATTGTAGGGGAATCTATCTAACCAATATTCGACAACGTTCATAAACAAGATCCACAAGCAGCCGTGCGCAAATTTGCCGACCTTGGCGAAAACGAAGTGGCAGGGAGAACCGTTGAGATCCACACGACTTTGAAATAAATCATACAAAAAAAGCAAGAATATTGTAATGTCAGTAATATACTGGAACTCGTGCCAAGTTCTCCGTTATTCACTTCATGTATGCTGCTATTTTACTGAACAGTAGTTAGGAGTGTAGATGCTATTCGGACATAACTTAGTAACGTATTTCAACATGAGAATATTGTATATGTGAGGTCTGTGGAGAGAAACAATCTCTAAATCCCGACTATGAAACAGGCAGCCCAGTCATCTTGTCGAATCCGTCTTTTTGGCTGAGCATTTTCGTTCATAGACGTTGGTTCGGATTACCGCCGGAACAACAAGAAGACTTGCGAATCACACCAAAAATGACCCCGTTGGCATTAGAAATTTAGGGGTCAAAAACTCCTTACAGTTAAAGTGGTCATAATCTTGTTTAAGATCTCATTATGACTCATTACTAAGTTATGGATGACCTCTCAAAATTGTTACCTACGTCTACGAGTCATATACTCGATTCTTCATTCGATTCGATTACAGAGCCATACATTCGTGCGATCTAAGTCTACGGCAAAGGGATTAGTGCATTGTTACCATCCATTATGACGTACCTTTATGGTGGAAATGGATTCTGCAACATATGGGATGTTATGTTATCTGACACGCAGTCAAGCAGTATTTCCAAAGAAATCGTGGCTGGAGATGCTACGTTGTGTCAGCCTCTCCGATGGTGTACTTGGTTATCATAGCATGTCTTAATAGGTTTCCAACCTCTGGTTGTAAGCGCGGAGCATCACTACAGTTTTTGCAAAGATTTCACGTATGACATCTGTTCTCCCGTTGATCTTCGGGTGACTCAAGAGACTGCAGGGGTGATTAAAGTCTTCATTTGTCCTTGCCGCGTACAAAAGTATCTCAGTCGATTCTGCTCACTCTGGAGATTTGCTGAACATGATGTCGTTCTTTTAGGATCTTCAAAAAAAGCTCTAACCATCGGGTTGGTGGTCTTCCTGCTGCGCATTTGACCTGTTTAATCCAGCTGCTAACGATTTTTGTGTATCGGTTGCTGCCTTGGTGTATAACTTGTTCAACACATCTGATTTTCGACGTTTTTGCGTGTAAAACGGCGTCTTTCAGCTGTGATCATTGACGTAGGTCGGAGCTTTGGATTCATTCACTCACTTGTGTGACAGTCGTAGTGATGCCGATAACCTCGACCATGCTGCTGGTTCAACCTTGCACCAGGCTCACCAAGTCTGTCATTCCTCTGGAGTCGAGAGATTGGTTCTGAACTTGTCTGGGGGAAAAGTTCATCCTCTGAAAACCAAATAGGAACGGCTATCTCAGGATTCCAGGGAAAATAGGCTTAAGTAGCAATTACTAACATTCTTGTTTAAATGGAAAATCCTCAAGCAGCAGCCGAAGCCGCGCGTAACAACTGGAAGAGCATCATAGATGATGGATGCTAGGAAACGAATCGAATGTGAGAAATGCTAGGATCTGCTCAGTGGAAAAAGCGGTTCTGATGACAAAC